AGGGGGGTTAGAGGTATTTTTGGGGTGGTGGAGGCCAATTATAGCCGTTTTTAGCCGTTGGGAACGACTATTTTTGCAATTGGAGCCGTTGCCCAACGGCTAGAATTCAAAAAAAAAAAAAGGACGCGGGACGGGACGGGGCGAAATTGGACAAACAGGACGAAATGACCATCCCGTCCCATCCCGTGTTCCGTTTAACATAGGCCCATCCTGTTTAGAATTAAGTGGGACGGGACGGCCCGTCCCGTTGGACAGCCTTAATTGGGGTCCGTTTTTGTGCCTTATCTTTGTATTGCTTTAGTTTCTTAGTTTTCCTTAATCCACTGTACTGTGAGCCCATTTTGGTAGATCCTCCCGCAGTACGTTCTACGGTGCTACAGGCACCAACTCATGCTTGTCCTGTGTTGTATTGATTAGTTAATCTACTACTCACTCTATTTTAATTTATGTGACGGTTTGAATCGGAATAGAGTTTAAGAAAAACATGAAAACTATTGAAATTTGTGATTTAAAATTTGAGACTTGTGGTCCTAAACATATGGTTATTATAGCTTTTCATTAAGAGACAGGAAATGTAATGTTAATTGTTTCTAAGTTTAGAAGTATGTTATTCTTTTTGGATGTTTCCAGCGGTACATATGCTCTTAGGCTAGGCATATATTGAGTAAAATAAATAGCCCGAAATCAAAAAAAACTTATTGAATTATTACTATCGGGTTATTGGGTTAATGGTTAGGTAACAATTTTATGTTATTCGACATTTGGATTATCAGTTCGGGTCGCGGTTTGCCCAATTTTATTAACAGTTTAGCCGGTAATTCAATGAAGCTAGACGTTAGAATGTGTACATGACTTAGGGTTGCAAGAGTGAATAAGTGGTAATTTGCCCCTATATTAGCCTTAGACCAACTTTATTAAACATCAGTTGGGTCCCTTGTATGAGAAAACTAGACGAAGAAATTGTTAACTTTTCGTTGTCTTTAGAAGCTATAAGCCCTTAAAAACTCTCTAAATCAATGGTCTTTTGTGTCTTTGCATGCATAATCTTAAATGCTACACTAAACCTTTTGACTAGGTTCGCGTATATGAGTGAAATTTTTTGACTAAATTTTTGTTTCTTTGCATGCATAATCTTAAATGCTAAACTAAAGTTTTTGACTAGGTTCATGAAAATTTTTATTTTATAAAAAAAGGTAAAATTTTACAAAGGTGCCTCTCACTTACGTTAAAAAGATAATTCTGCAGCTATAATTATTGACAAGACTTGTTTTTTATTTAGAAAGAAAGTTTTGCTACTAATTTTAATTTATCTGGGACCTCTAGAACAGATAGGGATGTGGTAGACCATATAGAGGTTCCACTGATTCTCCTCACACTCCTCATGTACTAAATGTAAGGTGGTTTTAGAATCTTACCTTATGTTCTACACCTCTGACCACGTACACCATTCACTAGCAAGTGGTTACAAGGTACGATTCCCTCAAATCTTACCTTTCCCGCTATGATCAAGTCTTGGAGTTTAGTTGCTAAAAACTCATTAAATGAGTGACAGAAAACAAAAGATTCCTTATATTAATCTTGCAAAACAATAACAAAAACATATATCATTATTACATTGTTTGTTAAATAGTGTACCAAGGACTTGATTGTTCTAGGTCTTCTCAAATATAATGTGATGAAAATTGAAGTCTCTGTTACTCTTTAACTTAAGTGGAACATTTGATTAACAGAAAGACAAAGGGAAATTCCTGAGATATTGAGGAATGAGGAAAGGGCATACTGATTTAGTGATAATATGAGTATCCATGTATCCATCTAGGAATGTATCCATGTCATTTTCTTTCCATGTGAATTATTTGTAGTTTCTGGACATTGGAGAACAAAGTCTAGAACTTTCTGCCTTTTCTGTTGTCTACCCCTAGAATTGATTGTGCATATGCATAAAAAATAATATCAAATGGAAGTTATCATGGGAATTTTTGTACATTAAGCTTAATTATCTTTTATTATTTTATTTTGGTGCAAAGAAAGATCTAGGGAGGATGTCAATTCATTGCTAGATCTGCTAGAAGAAATGTGATTGAACAAAATAGGCTAGGGGTCTTAGTTCTTTTGGGTTCTGATTCCGGTTCACACAATCTCTTGTAAATATTATAGTCATTTATAAAACTTGTTTCCATTTAAAAAAAGCCATAGAAATTTTTGTTTCCTCAATGTCTCTTAAGCAACACGTTTTATCCATGTTCATGCTACGTAGGGTCCCTTTATCTGATTTAAATTGTACCTAACCTTACCTTAACTATATCACTGCAACATGTCCAAATTCTTATCGACGCCAATCTCCATTCACTTAAATCACATCTCCTCCGCCAGTAGCTACACCACCCGTGCAGCCAGCTAGGAGTGGGGCTCAGTCAGTCCGAGGTCGCCCTAGAGGGGGATGTCAGTCAAGTGGTAGATAGGCCTGGTGCTATGCATTTCCATCCAGGCCAGAGGCAATTTCTTCCGATTCCGTGATCACATGTATTGTTTTAGTGTGCCACATGGATACTTAAGTATTATTTGACCCTGGTTTCACTTATTCTTATGTGTCATCATATTTTGCTTGTTAGCCTCGTGATTCTCTTGACATTCCTATTCATGTATCTATATTGGTGCATGATTCTATTATGGTGGATCGAGTGTATCGATCTTGTGTAGTTACCATTAGGGGAGTTCCCATATATGTTTCCTGCAAACCTGTCGGGCATGCCACCCGACAAGGATTTTGATTTCGGTATTGATCTAATATCGGATACTCCGCCCATCTCTATTCCACCATATTGCATGGCACCAGCAGAGTTGAAGGAATTAGAGGAACAAGTATAGGAATTGCTTGATAAGGGTTTCATCAGGACGAGTGTTTCACCTTGGGGTGTACCGATATTATTTGTGAAGAAAAAATGTGGTTCTATGAGGATGTGTATCGACTATCGACAGTTGAACAAGGTGACCATCAAGAAAAAGTATCCGCTGCCGTGCATTAATGATTTATTTGACTAGCTATATGCTAAGTTCTCCAAGTGCGAGTTCTGGTTAGACTAAGTGGCATTCTTGGGTCATGTAGTGTCTAGTGAGGGTATTAAGGTAGAACCAAAGAA